CAAAACTCCTGCATCAATCACGTTAATGGCTCTTTCCTGCTGGCCATATTGGTTCCCTCTCTTAACTCTAATATAGATGATGGAGGGCGTTATCTTCAAAGTCAATGTTTAAGCACCTGGCCTTCTGGGAATGAGGGCAGAATTAATGCCTGTTTACTTAACTGCTCTGCCCACCCCCCCCCAACAAACCAGACGGGCTGAAGCCCCACACCTAGACCCCGGGCAGCAGGGGGGATCTGACAGATGCCAGGGAGCTGGCCCTCATCAGAGAAGGGTTCTGCCATTTGCCAGGCATCTCTCTTCATCTCAAGGAGGCAACAACCCACGAGTCGTTAATGAGAGAGTTCCAGGGGACGCTCCTGATTTCTTAATGGGGACAAATGGGGAGTGGTGGCAGAAGCTGAGTGCACTCTGGGTAGACACATGTCCAGGAACAAAGAACAAGGAGATGGGGGAAGGGGTGGGGCTGAAGCTGAGGAGACACTAGTTCAGAAGCCAACCAACCCAGGTGCTGATTATCTGGAATCCAGGAGCGCAGCAGTATGGACCCACTACACTGCTGAGGCCATGTCGGTAGAAATTGGGAAATTCTAGGCAGACCCCTGTCCCGCAGGAGGGTCCAGTCAGCTACGGGGCAAAGGCTCCTAGAGCATCCACAGAAGGCACTCAAAGACAACACAGCCCGCGGAAGGCTTTGTTTTCCTCCTCCTCATTTCTCCACATTCAGACAGCAGAGCAAGAAGCCCAAATTATCTCCACCGTTACAATCTCTAAACATCTCGCCTGACAGTCCTAGGGCTCAGATGATCAGTCAACTCTTCCCTCCCCAAGAGGGTTCATGACACTCTTCTGGGACAGCCACAGCTAGGTCCCTTCAAAGACAACTAAGCAGCAACAAAAGTCATCATGACCCTTGTGCAACTTAAAAGCGAAACAGAGCAAGTCCGGCACTAGAGAGAAGCAACAGAGCCACACACACTCTGGAAGAAGACTGATTTCAGAAACCATGGAAATCAGACAAATTGGGTCAGCCTTCAACTAACTGAAATAAGGAATCAAAGAGAATATACTGGGGTGGGGTGGGGGAGAAGGTGCCCAAGCTCAGGAAAGGAACAGAAATAAAAAAGAGTCACAGCAGAGCTCTGGACTCAACAGGGTAGAAAACGGTGTCCGTGAAACTTGCGGGGGGAAATCCTCACACACGGCATGCAGAATGAGGAGATGAATGCGATCGCAGGTAAGGGAACCGCAAAGGGCAGCTCACCTCCAAACTCACTCCACTAAGGCAAGGCTGGCTCATGGCCGCCCTACAGGGCAGGGTGGAACTGCGCCAGGGGGTTTCCAAAGCTGTAACTCTTGAAGGGAGTAGAAAGGCTCCTTTCTCCCCGGAGGACACAGAAGACAGCCAATACACCGGTGACCTCTTAGCGAGCAGAAGCAGCCAGTCCCAACTGCAGCAGGGCCCAACTGTCACCATCGGCTGCTCACTGCTCACTGGGTGCTGGGAAAGCCAACAGGCAATCGTCAGGAGACATACTCAAATGAAGTTCCTGAATTTCCAGGACAAAGAATCACAAGTGTCCAAGCGACCAAGCAAGTCCTTCCTGGGACCACCACGGGGGAGGGACCCGAAAGCAGTTATCTCCAAAGAACTGAGGGAGAAGAAAGGTGACCCGAGAAACTGATCACCAGCCAAGGCACTGTTTTTAAGTAACGGCAAGAGAAAGACATTTGTAAATATGCAAAACAAGCAGCACTGAAGCTGTAATCTACTCCACCAAAGGAGAAAAGCATCAAGTCTTGGATGTGAAGTCTTTGCCTGGAAGGGCTGGCAGTGAGCACAGAATTCATTCAAACATAGAATTAAGTCTAAATAACGATAGTAATTACCTACAGCTATACACTTTACGTTGCCTTTCTAGGTAGAAGCTGCCAAATCCATTCAATTAGCTCCTCTTCCTAACTATGCCAAAATGAAAACTCACAAAAGGAAACCTTTCCTGAATGGAATGATCTTGCACGATACAAGTTTTGGTTTATCTATTACCCTTGAGGGCTGATATGCCCAAGAAATTCCTCGAGAGAGATCGTGCTCGTTACCTGGTTGATTGCTGAGTGCACCAGCCTAGGAGGCGAAGACCTAACTACTTACATAAAGACTACATACAAACTACATAAAGACACACATACTTTGGTTCAGTCACACCGCCATGACAAACCACTACACTGCTTTGGAACTCAGGAAAAATAGGCTATCTGCATGGCTGGCCCACCCACCCAACAGTGTAAGGATCAGAAGGGATGAATGTGAAAAGTCTTTGTAATCTAAACACAGTTCGATGAAACCATGTCGCTGCTGGATGGAAAGAATGTTAAGGCACCCAAAGCAGACATGTCTGTTTCTATTACAAGCTACACACGCACAGAAATCTGGCCATTTTCTTCCGGACAAACCCAGCAAATAGCCAGAAGGATGGGCCTACATTGAGAGATTCAGGTATCTTTCGCGCTTTCACTGCCATCGAGTCAATGCTGACTCACAGTGACCCGTGAGGACTGAGTAGAACTGCTCCTGTGGATTTCTATAGGAATAGAACGTCTCAAAAAGATTTTTAAAATTCTTTTAATAAAAAAAAAAGCCTTGCCTTTCTCTTGTGGAGCAGTCAGCGGTTTAGAACTGCTGACCTTGTGGATAGCAGGCCAGTTTGTACCCACTAGGCCAATTCATGTACAGCCAACCAAAAGGAGAGGAATACTTGGGTTAAAGGACTAGCAGAACTGTGAGAATGCAAGATGTTTCTGGAACTCTGCTTGTGGTTACATCAAGAGCCAAGTTACACACACACACACACACACACACACACACACGAGGGTTTGATAGGATATTACTGTTGATTTCATTTCTTGAGATGGGCTGTGTAAATAAAGCATGTTCGAACTTACACAAACAAGGCCAGCACCTTTCCCCCTTCACTTTCCTGGTAGCACGTCAATCTGAGACCTGCCAGAGCCCTGGAGATGCATCCACCACCATCCATAAGACCTTGCGCCTGCTGGCCTCTGATATTCCTGTGTTCTGCATCATCGCTTGTGACTGAGTGAGTCTGAAGAGGGACTTATGGCCTAGAATCAGACTTATGGACTTGAGTTGGACTGGGCTGGGATGTTTAAATAAAGCTTCTTTATATATGAAAAACAAAATAAAATTCAACAGACAAAAAACCGTTCCGAAGTCCTTATCCCTCAAACCTAAATAGTCGTTTGAGCGGCTTAAAGAGAAAATGTAAAATTTAAATGGATTTGGAGTCTTTGGTGACAAATTCATCTCAAACAAAGCAAATTTAAATGCAGAAAACACAAACGCAAGAGAAGCAATATTGTAACAGGAACAGATGGATATGCATAGGGAGAGTATATTAGAGAAAAGCTACCAATTAAATGATTAAAATGTCAAAATTGTCTTTCAAGAAAGCACTGTAACGGAGACACAGAATGGGGCTTTCCAATCATCAGCCTCTGCGTGGCGGTGGCGGTGGTGTGAGGGCATAATCATCAATGGCGTTTTTTATCAGACAATGAAAATGACCACAGACCAAGACAAGAAGAACTACTTGAATGTGCTGACTCTCCACCTCTAGAGTGTATCAGACTCGAAGGTGTAAATGAGGCTTTAAAACTTAGGTATAGCGTGGAAGATACTAATATACTCTGTAGTGTATAAGGAAACGAGAATCTTTAAATGTAAAGGACCATAGTTTCAACATTACTGACATGGTCATAATAGGGGCCCGCCTCAGCCCTGAGGCTGGCTTCAGACTCCAAACAATGGCCGCAATGGGCCAGTTTGCCATCACAAAGCACAGATATTCCGTTTACCTCACTGATTAGATATGAATTCCCTGCTGAGATGCTTCTAAAGATGGAAAACGCTGAAGGGAACTACCACGAGGCACAGGCGATAAAATGATATGGAGGGAAATCCGATTCATTGCAAGGGTGAGAAATGGTGCCAGCAACCCAGGTGCAGCTTGTCAAAGCACATCTCCGAGGGAAAACTCCCTCAATGCAGTAGCAGGGAAGGTCCCCGAGTCAGCATCGACTGCATGGCAGTTGGTTTTGGTGGCAGTCCTGGAAGTAACCACATTATCTCATGACTAGAGAATGAAATACCCAAGTTGCAATGTTTAAAAATCAGTGGGACTTGGTATTTTTTAAAAGAAACGGAACACTTTTCTATGGACATTAAAAAGAGGGGAGATGGCAGGGGAGGTACATGAAAAACGATCATGAAGAGAAACATCATGGAGTTGGAGAACATGCGGACTCCCAAGGACTACCGGAGCGCGCCCATTTCAAAGGGGAACTATTCGGTGATTCACCTCGCCTCACTCCAAGTTCTCTGTCAATTTCCACTTCCGACTTTGAGCCAAAAGGGGGATGGTGAAAGCCAGATTGAGTTGGTCATTCTTAAATTGGTGAAAACCAATGAAAAATGAACATTATGAGTACCTAGAGCAATTTTCAAGGAGCGAGCCCTGGAGGCGTCATGGATTACAAGTTGGGTTGCTCACGGCAAGGACAACAGTTCAAGCCCACCAGCCACCACGTGGGAGAACGACAAAGCTTTCTGCCCTCTTAAAAAAATGCAGCCTTGGAAATGCACGGGGGCAGCTCTACTCTGTCCCATTGGGTTGCTAAGAGTAAAATTGACTAGATGGAAGGGAGTCTGGTTTGGGAGGGCCACTTTCCAAATTAACTAGAAGGAACTGCTTCAACAGTTCTCTTTACCACCAGGAAAGCGTTATCACAAAGGCTTTCCGATTCCTTTGACTTCTACACAGGGAGAGGCATGACCAAGGCAGATGGTTAGATTGGCTCAACTTTGACCGAAGCGTCCAGTCTACTTCCCACCCTTCACCACACTTGCGATTGGTCAGAAGGCAGCAGCATTTTCACTTAAGATCTTTGGGACCACGCAGTTAAGTGAAATAGTCCAAGACAACTTTTGGATCACTTTAATGAACAGAATCGAAGTACACAAATGGATTGTATAATAATATCAAAGCATTGATGATTAAGTTCTAACACACAAAGTACCCATACAGCACCATGAAAATATGATCAAATGTAGGAAAGCGAGAGACTAAATCTGAGAGTGGAGGAGAAATGCATGTGAGGGAGGGAGGGAGGGAGGGAGGAAGGGCTCTAGGGCTGAATTATCAAGACCTGGTCAGCTGATGGTCTGAACTTCCAGATTCCCCAAGCCCTAGGGGACAGTGTGGGGCAGATAGAACCTTTGGTCACAGAGCGCAACAGTAGGGACCTACAAGTGTCAGGACAGAGGAAGGAGCTCGGCTTCCGAGGGAGACTGTGGGCCCTTGGCGCTAGGATAATGAGGTGGAGGGTGCGAGGACACGAGAACTCTTGGGAAGGCTGTGTGTTCTGGTGTGCCAAGTGCCAATCACAACACAGCAAAGTATTACAAATGATTACTTGCAAATTTACAAATTACTAGTTTTTGCAGAAGAGCTGGAGTAGCTACAGGAAGGGCTCAATGGAAAAGGTCCAGCTGGTATAGAGAAAACACACATTCAAGCACTGGCCTAACTATGGTTCTGCGCCGAGCTGAAAACCATCTTTCTTCCAGAGACGACCAGAGCATTCAGTTCTCTAGAAAGTTCTATTAGTCTTGACCTTGTCCCTACAAAAAAATAACAGTAATATACACAGTAAGTTGAGGAGTACAGCCTTCTTAGTGTAACCAGAATTTACTCAGAGAATTTAGTTACACGGGTACCTCAAAAACTCTGCCAGAGCACGCGATCCTTTTCCATAGTTTATACAGAAAAAGACTATTTAACTACTTATACATACTCTACAACCGTTCTTTCCTCTCAGTTAAAAACCAGATTAGAAATGAGATGGCCTGCGAATGGGTTTCTTTTAGAGGTGATGAAATTCTATAATTAGATAGCAGTGAAGTGTACCACTCTGAAGAGACTAGGAACCACAGAGTTGTACATTTTTAAAAGGGTGAGTTCCATATATGAATTATATCCCAATCAAACTGTTATTTTATTGCTATATTAAACCTGAGAATACATTTTCTTAGAATTTCTCACACATAACCATTTAGTGAATTTGTCATAGCTACTAAATATTTCCTTCAAATAGCCTCCAATTATTCTATTTGTAGACCTTGACACTTTTAATAGGCTATGCATTTTAGCTTTTAAAAAATTGCTTTTTGCTACAGTGTGCTTATTGGATAACATATTAGAAATTAATATTTGCCCCTCATTACAGTAGCATACAACCTGTGAAACTAGTCGAGCTTTTAAATTGCTTTTAAAACAAGGTTCAATTGAAGCAGTCTTTTTGCAACATATATAGACCTGATTGTTTATGAAAACTGGTTCAGCGCTACTCAAATTATACTAGTCATCAGAGCAACAGTTAGAATGGACTGGTCATGTGGATACCCAACATGCCACTTTACTTACACGCAGACTGAAAATGCAATTGAGGGAAACGGATCCAAGTGTTTCAAGATGACGTGGTTGAATCTTGGCTGGGGAGAGGGACAGGGGTTACTCACACAAACCAAACTTTTCTCATTTTCATCATTTGAGTTGGGTGGCTTATCTAGCAATGTTGTATAGATGGCACCCACGCGCGCACACATACACACACAGTCATAGAAAAAAAAAACCCAAACCCAACCCAGCTGTATCAATATCCTTTATCTCAATCATCAGAAAACACCAGTTACCAAATCGACTGAAAAGTGTAAACTACTACATAGAATACATGTACATAGATACCATTCTATTGCATTATGGTAGGGATGTGAAGAAACAAAATTTTCAGAGTAAAAAAAATCAAACCACACTCACTGCCCTCAAGTCGATCCTGACTCTTAATGACCCAGTAGGACAGGGTGGAACTGCCCCTAGGAGTCTCTGAGACTGTCACTGTTTATGGGAACACAAAGCCCCTTCTTTCTCCCGTAAGGAGACATGATATTCAACCAAAATATATTACAAAACAATGTTAGAAAATATCAGATGCGAATATATTGACGTGGAAAGGTAGAGATCAAGTGAAATAAAATTAATTCATAAAAGTGTGAAATCTGGTCTCATTTTGGAGAAAAAAAATGCTATGTCCTAAAGGATACTTTGCTATTTGCATATATTCAAACACCAAAGAAGTCAATGGTGGCAATCTCTGGGTTGTGTAAATGCCAGCATTCTTCTTTTTCTTTTGGGCTTGTTTGCTATCTTCTCTTTACAATTTGCATATACTTTCGCATTCATTACGTTAGTTTTAATTAAACAAATACAATCTTTTCTTTGCTCCTAGAGCTGGAGCTTATTAAGGGTTGTCAGGAGAGGGGTAGGGGGTGGGAAGGAAATCAAATACTGGATTGCTTTATGAGTTGGAATTGACTCGATGGCGGTAAGTTTGGGGCTTTTTGATCTATTTTCTCCACTTCAACTCACACAAGTTCTCTACACTTTCTTCGGCAAATCCCAATGGATGGTGAAAAGCCGGCAAGTTACGAACGTCTTAAATAAGATTCATGGAAGGCCAAATCTTTGCTCACTGCTGCTGATACCTTCCCTCAGCTCTAAGCTGAGGGGGGTCTAGAACAGGGGACTTTGCTATTCACTATTCCGGCTACCTTTTTTTTTTTTTTTTAAACTCATGATTATGGGGTTTACTAGGAAAGCTAAAATATTACTGGTCAGAAGCAGAAATGTTAAGGATATGGTTTCTTTGGTTCATAGAGTCTCTTCTGAGTCATGCCAGTAAAACACCCCTCTGTCTAGTCCTTGGCCTCTCAGGCAAGTAGCCCTTTGGCCTCTGCTCAGGTTAAGCAAGTTTTATAAAGCTCCTAAGGGTTCATAAATGTCCCAAAAGAGCACCCTCCTGTGCAAGCAGCTACCCAATTCTTGCCATCCTTCCTGTCTGGGGTGAACAGTCGGCAAACTGCAAAGAGGTGGCTGAAAAGTATCATCAGCCGGATCGTCAGGCTGGCTGGTGTCTTCTAGGGGAAAAACAAGGATTTGATAAGGGAAACCAAAGTGAGAAATTACTGTTTAGCTTTGTATTTTGACGCATCCCTGGGCTCACTGCTAGGATTGCTCCAATCGTCAGCTTCAGGTGTGGTCTTATAATGGCGCCATGCTGACTTATTGAAAACCGGAAGTCTCTCAAACGATTCACTTGAAAGAGCCTAAGGGAAAAACAGAAACATACATCAAAGGTCCAAAGCATTGTTTTCCTCACAGGAACTGTTAACCCACATTTTACTATTTAGAAAGTTAAAAATTGCAAGTCAACTCATAGCGACCCACTATGGAAGGGTAGAACTAAACTGCTCCTGTGAGCTGCTGACCCCGTGACTCTTGACTACAGTAGAAAGCCTCTTTTTCTCCCGAGGAGCTCGCTGCTGGTTTTGAACTGCTGACCTTGGGGGTTGTAGCCCAACACATAATCACTATGACACCAAGGCTTCTCGTGCCTATATTACCTACTCAAAATATGCCAGATATGACAAGGCTTCAAAAAGTTCACCAAAAAAATTGCAAAGATAATGGAATTTTCCCACAAACTTTTTGCAATGGCCTTGCATTCTAGAGTTGAAAAATGAAAGCTTAACAGCACCAGTGAATGAGAACAACTGCTACCAGAGACCTTGGCTCTCAGTTCAAGCTTCTCTATAACTATATGATCATTGAACTTTTAGAACTTCGGGAAAGCCAGCCACATTTTCAAAACAAAAGACTAGGATGTTAGTCTCCTTTACGCTGAGAACTTTTAAGGGATATGCCAGTTTGAACATCACAGTTGGGCACTATGGTTTTAAAATCCGTATTTTAATAATGTATTAAATGCACATACATACCACGCTTTTGCTCTGAGGATAAAATCAAGGAGATACCTGGCCTGATTTTCATGTAAAATGCCAGTGAATCTGTGCTGACTATGAGAGAAGATCTAGTGCTATTCTTGCTTAGTGCTTTGGATTTAGGAGCCTTAAAAGTACCGATGTTTTGATATCAGGGGTGAGGAAGTTGATGATAACAGTCACATCACAAGCCTCACCAAAGAGAAGCCATTCCAGCCATCACATTAAGGGAGAGTTAATAACATGCTTGACTAAGTACAGCAAGCTAATTTTTAAGTTGGTAATTATGTGCGGTCCACGAATGGAGGTGTAAATATCCAACTGAACCCCGACAGTAGCAATGTTCCTCGCCCCTGCTTTATAGCAACAGAAACAGAATGCCGTACCTTCAAATAAATGACAGCGTCAGTACCCACGCCCTCCATGGAATAGAGTTTGAGATCTCCTTGGAAATATCTAGCGTACAGACGAGAGATTGGCAAGCCATAGCCAAATCCAGCCTAGGAAGAGAAGACAAAGCAGACGGTAAGAAGGGTACACACGCTAACAATCCCAGCACAGGGCTACTCAGAGCAGACGTAAATGAATTCTAGACTCCGATTTGAATCAAAGAAAGGACTGAGTCTACGTATGTGAGAGATATGTCAAGTGATGGCCAACACATCCTTAATTTTCACTCTGCAAACACCTCCCCCAGTGTTCGGACAACACGAGGAGTACTCCACTTGCTGCCGGGGTCTTCTTGTTTTGTGTTGTTGCTTTTTCAGTAGGCACGATGTGATCTGGCCCCCAAACCCACATCATTTCCAAGGTGCACCATCAGTGTTACCTCGCTCTTGCAAGTGAAAATTCTATTTGCAGCCATTCACATCTACCAGTAACGAGTTGAAAACATTGGAAAGAACACAACTTCCCCAAAAGTTATTTCCTATGGTTTGGGGAATACATATAGATCGATATTTTGATTATAGAATTGGGCTGCTAGGATCCAGGTGAGTGATTCATACCCACCAGCCGCTCTGAGGGAGCGAGAGATGAGGCTGTCTGCTCCTGTGAAGATGTACCAACCGTCTGGGAAACCCCATGGATGGATGCTAGGAGTTGGGATCGACTCTATGGCAGTGGGTTGTTTTTTGGGGGGAGGGGTGGTAGATATAGTTCAGAGACCAGGAAAACATTCTTGTGCCCTCCTCTATCTTTAGAGAATTCTGTCAAGAACAGGCAGTTTTGAAAAAACAAAACGGAGATTTTGAGAACCACCACCGAGACTAATGCCAGTCATTTTCTGTAGAAAAGATACAACAGCTCCTGGCTTCCGAGCATGGTTACCTCTGACTGAATAGATGACCAGGGTTAGGGAGTGAGGGCGGTGGTCTGAGCCAGGCTGGCACACACAGAGGAAAGGCTGTATGGCTCTGGGATCACACAGACCTAGTTCAAATGCATTTCCTGTGTGACTCGGATCAGTTAACTCAACCTCTCTGTGGCATTTTTCTTACCTGAAAAGGCAATTAAATGCTCACTTCTGAGCTGTTTCAACGATTAAATGATATTCCTATAACCAGTGTAAACGTCTTAGCACAGTGCCCAACACATGGTGAGAGAGTCGAGGGGAGTGTGGGGGGCAGTGGCCCCATAGGAAGAAAGCTGTGGTCCTCTGCATCCGTAAAGATCACAACCTTGGCAAGATCAGGCCAGTCTCCTTTGTCCTTGTGCCAGCAACGGGTTTGGTTTGGTTTAGAACATAAACCATTAGGAAGCTGCTATTAGCAGTTACTCGGAGCAGTATTACATGAAGTTCTGCCATTTCCTAAGCTTTCTCCTTGACGTTTTCCACAGGGTTCAACCCAAACAGCTGGCTGTGACCGAGAGCACTCTGTCATTTAAGGGTTTTTGTTACAGCTGTGGGTGGCTCGTAGCAAGACAAGATAGTCACAGAAGCTACTGAGCGAACCACGGGCAAGAAAATGGTACGCTCCATCTAGAAAGAGACCCGAGGACATGTGCCTCCTGCAGTCCTGCACGGCCCAGAGCCAGCCTCATGTCTAATGAGCTGAGTGGGCAGCAGTCCAGTGTCATCAGACTTTGAGGAGACAGGTAAACTTCCCAGAGGTTTGGGGAGCTAGGGTCCAGGAAGGCAGGGTGGCCACTGGCTCAGAAGGGCTTCCCCAGGGTCTGAGGATCTACAGAAGGAGCCCTGGTGGCACAGTGGGTTACTTGTTGGGCTTCTAACCATAGAGGTCAGGGTTCAAAGCCACCAGCTGGTCTGTGGGAGAAAGAGGAAGCCATCTGCTCCTATAAAGATTGACAGTCTCAGAAACCCTGCCCCGGGGTTTCTCAGAGCCAGAACCGACATGATGGCAGGTGGTTTTGCCAAGGGGTGTTTGTGGGGGTGAGGGTTAGCAAGAGTTAGCTAGGTGGACATACCCAAAGAAAAAAAATTAGTGGATCTGTCAAGGCTAAACCTGTTGCTGTAGATGCCCACTCCCAGAGGCAGAGGTTTCAGAGAATACATTGCTTGGTAAGGAGATTACGTTTTCAAGTAATTTGTATCTACACGGCCATTTTTAAGCTCAAACAGACTTAACAGGAAGAGACTCTAGTGGATGCATTCCTTCAAATAGAGACACTGCTTGGTATACTGGACAGACATACTGAAAGAAAACCTCAGACTCACTGCCCCTGGGTTGATGGCGAGTCAGCACACAGTTACCATTACTTAGCCCAATGATGTCGGGCCAGATACTAACCGCTCTAGGGCCCCATTCCATCTCCTCCTCCAGGAGTCTAAAATGGGAGGTTGAATATGCAGTGGTTTAAGGCCCCTTAATTCAATCTGTTGGTCTCATGAAAGTACAACAGTTAAAAAAAACAACAGCCAAACAGTATGGCATAACAGTTCTCCTCAGGATGCTATTTGAATAAAACTCAACTCACTGACGTCAAGTTGGTTCCAACTCAGAGTGATCCTATAGGATAGGCTGGAACTGCCCTGTGGGGCCCCAAGACTGCAATTCCACAAGAGTAGAAAGCCTCATCTTTCTTCTGCAGAGCAGTTTGTGGTTTCAAACTGTTGACCTTGGGGTTAAGCAGTCCACCTGCAACTCTCCACGCCACCAGGGTTCCACTAAAACCTGGACTAGACTGTCTGTGTTCTTATTAAACAAGAGGGGAAGGCGTTCGACTTGGTTGTACTGTCTTTGTTTTCTTTTGATGTTTATTTAAGTAGGTGCCAGAAGCCAGCCAGTACACTTGCCTTTCAAAATGACATCTTTCAGGCATTTCTTGAATCCTATATAAATGCCTTTTTCTCCATTTTTGACATGCTGAATTAACCAACTCTGGGTTTGCTTTTTATTCCGACAAATAAAATCGAGCCTGCACTGCTATCACTCAGGTAGGACATCGAAATGGAACTTAATTTATATCCTGAAAAGATAGTGCCGACTGATACATGTGCGGCTGTGTTTAATGACAAAGAGTTCAACTGTTGTTTGTCAATTAGAAACACTCAGCAGGGGAAGAGAGTACGGTCCTACAAGGCTCTACATGCTACCATGGTAACCAGAGGCTTTCCCTCCCCACTGCCAGGGAGGGCTGACGGAGTTTTCCTGATGGGAAGGACTCTGAGAATGCAGATACCACCCTCTATATCCCGTGCTCATGTTATTTCACAGAGAATGGTGGATGTCAAAGGCTGTGGGGGTGCTGATGAAATCTATCATGCGCTGGAGCCAAGTGGCCTGTCTCTGGTCTCCTCTACTCTCTCTGATCTGCTAGTTAACTTCCAGGAGCCCTGGTGACATAGTGGTTCTGCACTGGGCTGTAATCCTCAAGGTCAGCAGTTCAAATTACTAGCTGTTCTGTGGAAGACAGACAGGGCTTCTACCCCCATAAAGAGTCCCTGTCTCGGAAACCCACAGCTGAAGTTCTACCCTATCCTATAGGGTTGCTCTGAGTCAGCACTGACTCGATGGCAGCAAGTCTGAATTTATGTAACTTTCAGGAGTCGCTGGGTGGCACATCAAGGCACTGCTTCCCCAAAGGTCACAACACTGAGCACCATATGCACAGGGTCAACCGTGAATTGGAACTGCTGGCTTGCTTGTTACACCAGCGCGTCCCCACTCCCTCGGGGAGTGTTAGGAGGTACCCAGCATGCTAGCTGCTGCTTTCCCCCCATCAGGTGGCTTTCTCTCGGGATTTCAGAGTGAGGCCCTTAGTTATGGTGCTTATATATGAGTTAGAGAAGAAATGCAGCCCAAAGGAGCCACAGGAAAAAGTGGCAGAGGCATGAGATGGCCCCTCATCAAAACCCAGGGAACAGTACTTTCAGCAAGGACAGCATGACAACCTGGGCAGATAGCCAGCCCTCTTGGTCTGTTATTGCTCTTCCCTTAAGCAGCAGTTTACAGTGCTTACCAGAGGTGCAGCTCTCATAGGCTCCAGGCTAGGTCTGGGAGCGGTGGAATACATATAGTTGAAAAGACGATCTATTTTGCGAAGTGGGACACCACCACCTTGGTCACTTATCTGTAATGTATAAAATACTTTTGAAAACTTGAAAGTCAATCTCTCCTCTGTAAGAGACAAGGAGTTCATTGAATAAAGTACACACCAGATAGCTCTAAAAACCTGCCAGGGCTCTGAACTCAAGGGAAATATGACTCTTTCGCAAACCAGGTTAAACAAAGAGGCAGAGCGCACAGCCGCAAGAGCTGGGGTTTGAAGTCTCGGCCTTTGTTCTCTGCATAGTGGAGTTTGAATGGAGTCCAATGGCAGCTCAGTGGTCAAAGTCTCCCCTTCCATTCAAGAGGCTCTTGGGCTCAATTCCAATGTTGCTCACGGCAGCCACCACCCACTTGTCAGCAGACACGCGCCACTATGATGCTGAGCATGTCCCAGCAGAACTTCCAGACTATGATGGACTAGGGAGAAAGGCCTAGTAATCATCTTCAGGAATGCACCTCAGAAACTACCGATCACACCATGTTCTGATTTCCAAGTGATCAGGGGGATGACACAACTGGGAAATGGTTTTCATTCCACTGTACATGGGGTGGAGGCTGAAACCATGGCAGCTAACACCACCACAACCTAACACTGAAAGTAAAATGAGGTCACAGAAGTCAAGGATCTAACACACTATTTTCAAATAGATGCCCATTTCCTCCCTGGTCACCACTTTCTCATGGCCTTCATCACTAGTATTAAAGTACCTGATAATTACATAAAGTATAAATACAAAAAACAACAACAAAAAAACAGTTACCTTAATGGATAAGTCTTCTTTGCCCAGAGTCACAAGGGTCTTAACAGCAGGGTAGCCCTCTTTTCGGTCTTCATGTAATTCTACGGTTGCTCTCATTGAGTTCTACAATGAGAAGACCTTGGCTTTCAGCATATCATGGAGTCACACAAGGTTTAAGAAGACACCAGCATAGTTTACTTAGCAGTAACAATTCTTTCATGGGGCACACATTTAGTGTTTTCAGATGACATTTCTCCCCCTTTGAAGGGCTTAGCTCAACATGTCTCATGATTAAAGAAAAATTCCTGACACTTCATTTTCTTTGTCATCTAAGTTGTAACCCCATCCAATATGCTAAATAATTCTCTCTCCTCTCGCTCTCTCTCTCTTATTCTACTCTATACCCAAGAGGAATGCTGTTTTTCTCACATGTAATGAGGCTGCAAGAAGCTGATTTTTGCACTTTAAATCCTATTTATCAGCCTGCATTTATAGAGCACCTTCCCTCTAAAGGCAGAAAGATTGAAAAGATTCGTGCTTCCTGTAAAATTTAAACATTTGGCTGATGGAAAAAAAGAAGTCGATGACATATTAAGATAAAAAAGAAACTCTGAAAAGGCCACAGCTGCTGAAGAGGAAGTTCACAATTAAATGCCCAGCACCACCGTACAGTGTTACGTCCGTAACATTATCATGTCTGGAAGCAAATCAGCGTAACTGATGTTTCAGGTGCTCGATTTAGGGTCAGCGCATATTTTGGCTTCAATGCTTTGTGTGTGCAACACTGCTGCCGGGAATGCTGGTGACTCCTGGTTAACAAAAGCCACAGCTTAGGCTGTGGAGTCCGAAGAGCCTCCTCTTTGGCAGCTATGGTCCAGCTCTTCTGCATCTCTCCTCTCTGCCTGTGTTAGGTTCGTCTGAATTGGTTCCCATATGGCAAGAGTCGACAGTCTCTCAGGACAGAAACCATCACTAATGCATCCACATGTTTAATGCTTGGTAGCATAAATATGCATAAACATGTTTTTATTTTGATCTGGCTATCCACAACAAAGGCTCTGCCAGATTTGGAAAACTAAAAGGCATCACTAATCTCATAACTGAAGGAAAAATAGTATGGATTTTACATAAAATCACTGAAGCACAATTATGCCTCAAAATCAATATGTACTAATATTCACAAAAACTATACTGTACACAGCAATTTTTCATCTCACAGTGTATAAATTATAAAACCCACAGGATATCAGAAATAGAATTTTTAAAGCGGTTATGCAAAACCTTTTTCTTATGCTAATCGAATGAATCCATTATGCCTTGAATCAAAGTAATTTAAAATGAAGCTTTCTTTCCATGTTTTTAAATTCCACTTACCTTGAACAGCTCAAACAGCATGTGAAACAGGTGTGAAGGCACGTAAACGACCTGGATCGGCTTGTCTGGGGCTTTGGCTGAAACAGAGACAACACCATCAATGAATCAGGACCCGAACCGGAAGTCCCGAAGGACATTCCATTTCCCAGACGCTGTGCTGGAAGCACATGGGCAGTCGGCTCTCAGAACGACTTATATAGTCTCGGAACCTCTCGGAGCAGTTGTACTCTGTCCTATAGGGTTGTTGTAAATCAGAATCAACTCTCGTGGCAGGTTGGTTTTTTTTATATAAAAAAGAACCCTATAAAATGCTAACTGAATGTCTACCACTAATGGCGGGGCGAAGAAAAAGCCTATGCTTTGGAATCCAACCAACTTGTGTGGAAATTCCAGTTCCTTGACTTACCAGCTAGATGACGTTGGCGAGACACATTACTCAAGCTCTTTGAAACTCACGTTTCCTCCTGGGCAGAACTGCGATGGTATCACCTACGCCATGATGTTCTGAGAATTACTGTACGTCATCCAAATGGTGCTCAATGGTCTCCAAGTTGTTGGGGGAATACTCTGTTATCGACCCCAGTGGGACTCTTAGGAACTGTGAAGCCACCGAAGAGAAGGGGCCCAGCTTCAAAGTGAATGCTAAGAGGTTAACATATGTTAAACAAGCACACTACTGAGCAGAATATAAGGTTCACAGACAAAGCCCCGTAGACCTATGGTCCTTTCTTCTGGTATCAGGAAGCCCCTGAGGAGACTCAAGAACTAAGAGCAGCATGGGGGTGCTGGGTAGGTGCTCAGCAGTTTAGTCCTGCCTCCTCCTCATGACCTGAAGTCACTTAAGAGATTGAAACGACACGAACTTTCCCAATCAGAATGCAGACATACCCACCTGTGTTATTATAATCTCAACTACTTCCTCTATTAAAGTAGTTTCACATTAATATAAAGGTATCCTGTTTGATACATAACTGTTTGTAAAGCTTTCGAAATACATTATCCAAGTTAATCCTCATAAGACTACTATGTGGTTCATAAAATGGGGTGGGGGCATGATTATAAAGCCAGTTGGCTAAAGTAACGAAATTGGCTTCATTTCTTTTCATTTAAATTATGTGGGGATTTCCATTTCAGATCAGCATGAAAGAGCTGCTGAAACTGGACATCTGGACCAAGATCTTTTGGTTCTGGAGCCCAGGCCCTTTGTGGCTCCGTTCTTTTTGAAGTTACATAGACAGATGTCTGAACGGCTTTGAAAGGGGAAAATCCCTTCACCCTCTCCCACTGCCCCCCTCAGACCCATACCCAATAAAGCATAAATCTTTACTATTGATGCTTTGGCTCTTCTGTTGGACAGTATTTAGATTCCACTTTGTAACCTTGATTCAACACTCAGTGCTCTGCCTAGAGGCTCTATCAAAGGGTTGAAAATCACTGTTAGTGTTGGTAATTTCTTAACTAGACAAAACATCAACCCCCCAGGGTGTTTCCTATCTTTAGATACCGACAAGAGTCACATGTCTCTTGAAACAGAATGTTCTAAGCCTTAAGGTGAGACAGTTTCTCCCTGCACTCCTCCTTCGACTGCTTGAAATGCTTGAAATGCTTTTAAGGTTGCTTACTCTTTGGACAGTGTCTTTCTTAGTTCTGAATTTTTCCTGGAGTTTGTTAACTACCTCTCTGTAGGGGGATGAGATAAAAAAAACAAAACAAAGAAAAACCACTGCCGTCAAGTCGATCCTCCTCCTGGTGACCCTGTAGGACAGAGAACTGCCCCTGCAGGTTTCTGAGACTGTCCCTCTTTACAGGGACAGAAAGTCTCATCTGTCTCCCGTAGAGAGCCCAGCATGTAAGTAACTCATTACAGCACCAGGCCTCCTACAGAGGACAAGTAGGGGCCCTACAAAAGTGGCCCTGGAGAAGGCACTCATGCTTGGGAAAGCAGCAGGGCAACCAAAAAGCGGAAGATCCTTTACAAGATGGATTGACACAGTGGCCGTCACAATGGGCTCCAACATAAATAAGCACAACTGTGAGGATGGGGCAGGGCCAGGTGGTATTTTATTCTGTTGTCTATAGATAGGGCCCGCTATGAGGCCGAAGAGATGCGACAGCACCTAACAAACAACAAAACAAACAAGGTCTGTCCAAGTCCTAACCCCACCTCCCGGATCTGTGACTGAATTTGGAAACAGTCTCTTCAGAAGTAGATTACTTAAGGACCATTTTAGGGTGGGGCGCAAGACCAATGACTACTGTCCTTATAAGAGAAAGGAGAAGGAGTGACCCAGGACAAGGTCATGTACACACGGAGGCAGAGATTGGAGTGAGTGGGCCACAAGGCAAGGAATGGGAAAGATTGCTCGCTGGCGTCAGAAGCTAGACGAGCGGCATGTGACAAATTCTGCCTTGGAACCTTCAGAAGGGCCAACCTTGCAGACACCTTCATTTCAGACTTCTGGCCTCCAGAAGTCTGCACCACTTTCTGTCAAGCCCCTTCCAACTCATAATGCCCCTAGGGAATAAATGAACTACCCCAGACGGTTTCTAAGGCTGTCATCTTTGGAGAGCAGATCCTCGGGGCTTTTCTCCTACTGGGAGTCACTGGGCGGGTTCTGACTGCACACCTTGCGGTTAGTAGCCAAATGCTTAACATGGGCACCACCAGGGTCCTTTAAGCCACCTAGTTTGTAGTCACTTGAATGGCAGTCCTAGGAAACCAATATACACCCCCCTTTGGGGTAACAGGGATAAAGACCCATACTTTCTTCACCGTATCACTACCATCGCCCAGCTTCTTACTCTACTGCATGGCATCCACTTCATTCTTCAAGGGTTTTCAACTGAAAATAGATAGCTTTCAAGTTGTGCTTGAGAGTCAACCTAAAAAAAAATTCAACTGAAATTCTATAATGCTTCACACTATTTCATACAGCTACAGTATATATACTGGCAAGTCAGACAGGTGACCTCTCAGAAAGCAGTGCCCAGGAGACACCTTTCTCAATCTTCATTTGCTTGAAGGTTTGGCTATGTATAGGTAGATTCCAAATCATTTTCCTGCTGAATTTAGGAAGGAGATCTTTTGGCAGTAAACATAGCTGAAAAGTTTACTGCCAGTCAGGTAATTCATTGTTCCTGCCGCTGGCTCTCTCCCCAGGGCCGGCATACCTTGGTTGTGCTTTTTGTTTAAGAACAAAGAACCAGATTAATGCCTAGTGGCAGCTGGCACCACTGAGACTTTCCCCTGAATGGAAGGCTCATCCTAAAGCATGTAGTCTCTGACTGGAGGGTCCCCAAGTGCTTGAATGAAGAGAGCTTGGCTTGGAGATCCAACCACTCAAGAAAAAGTCCTAGTTCTTCCCTGGAACTGTCTCCAAGGGAGGACTTTCGTGTTTGCTCAGGGATGGTGCCTGTGTGGCTGGCCACACATGAGCGTGGCGCTCAGAGCCAAGGAGCTCTCAATGGTCCCTTCAGCCTTTTCCTAGGTCAGCTCACAAATGTCTCAGCTTGTTCTTTCAGCCCTTGGCACCTGGCAACTCGGCTCCCAGAGGCTTAACCTTTGACAAATCAGGTGCCATTTTCTGTTGCAGCCCTTGCCCCCCTCCTTTTGTGACTTCCTGTGCTCAGTAATCAGAATACTTCCCTCTGGTTAGCCTCTCTCAGGAGTGGGGATCCACTGATGAGCGCCCCATGCTATCCCTCCTTTTCCTTGGGCGGTTTTCTCTGGATTCCTTTCCTGCTATTTTAATGGGCCTGAGGAACAAGCTAAGTGCTTAGCCTATCTTGGACCCAACTTTTGAGTACAATTTGTTTCACTCTGAATTTCAGGGAAAACCCAATCTTAAAATACCTTTTAACGTTTCCCACCCCCAGCCCCCAAATCAACATTTTCTAGAAGCCAGCGGAAGGCTTGCTCAATTACTTGCACTTTTCTTTGGGAACATTCAAATTTAGATTTCTGTCATTCCTTTTAAGACCATGTCAAAGGTTTTTGCCTGGACTCTTCCCTAATCCTGGGCCCAGTGGCCATGGATGTTGGTTAACTTTCATTCTAAAGCTAGACACAAATGGAATGTGAATGTGAATCTAAAGCAACAGAAAATATAGCCCAGGTTTTTATGCTTACTGATGCGCTAACTAATAGTCTCTACTTTACACAGCTATTGCTCCAAATATCAGTAGTTGAAACAACATTTAATAAACACCCAAAGAATCCTTCACAGTATGAAAGAAATTTTGTTTGCATGTAGTTGAAAGCAAAACAGAAAACATTTAGGAGAAAAAGTGGCTGGGCACTTAAACATGGCAAATCAATTCCCAAAGGCTGTTAAGAGACTGTGTTTCGCGTGACTCAAAATCCAGCATTTAATGGCTATATTAATAGTTATTTAATCTATCTGGGACTCAGCAATGCATTTCTAAAATGAGCACGCATAGATCCCACTGGGGTAATAGGATTAAATGAGAAAATTTAATAAATTGGATAAAAACTAGTTTACACAGAGCCTGTTACATAATAAGCACTCAATATTCTTAATTTCGATACTATTAACAGAGCCCTGGTGGCACAATGGTTAAGTGCTTAGCTGCTGACCAAAAAGCTGGTGATCCGAACCCACTCAGGCAGGCAAAAGATCTGGCCCCCTGCCTCCATTAGGATTTCTTGTTGCCACTGCGTCAAGTTCACTTTCAACTCCTAGCCAGCCTCCAGGGCAGACTCAAACTGCTCCAGACAGGGTTCCTAAGACTACCATCTGCAACATCTTTTTCCCATGGAGCGCCTGGGGAGGTGGAACTGCCAACTTTTCACTGAGCTGTTGCATGAAGAGGGCTCCTTCCCATAAAGATCGCAGTCTAGGAAATCTGACAAGGCAGTTCCACTCGGTCCCTCTGTGTCAACCAAATGGCACCCCCCACCATGGCCAGTAATGATCTTTCCATTGCTGCCTGGAACCACTTGACTCAAAGTACCCATCCAAGTATTCATTGTGGGGAAATTAAATGTCAGAGATTCCAGGACAGACGCCTACCTTCTCTAGGAACCCATATACCAAAACAAACCAGAAAGATCCAA